ATTATAATAAATAAATAATTAATTAAATAATTAGAAATTATCAATTAAAATTTTAATTTATATTATTTTAACTTACTATGCTGCAGTATTTTCTGAAGCTGAATCTGTAACTAAACCATTAACTTTAATATTTATTTGTTGGAGCTCAGTAAATAGTTCTTCAGTAATTTGTATAATGTCATTTCACATTCCTCTTTTTCTTTTACAATCAATTGCTTTCCAAATAATCATATCACCAGAAGAATTAATTAAAATAACACCTAGAAGATGTTGTCGAAATACATTCTTCCACCTATTAAAAGCAAGTGTTACATCTAATTGATCATCTTTTGCACCATCAAGTAACTTTATTGATATCTGTTTAGTTGCCTCTTTAAGAATTTGTCTTCCTAATACCTTTCGTGATGGTAATATAATCATTGGATTAAGCCAATTAAAAAATCGTTTTACAGTATCATTTCTATCTATTGAAATGGAAAGCCACATAAGATTATTACTTCTAACAAAAATTCTTCAAGTTTGGATACTTGAGATGATGTTAATGGACGAAAAATATAATTATCCAAAACACTTTCATTTTAAATATGAATAATTTTATTTTCAACCTCATATAATGGATTTATATTTGTTTCAGTTTCAGAATCAGAATCCTCATCACTGGATAGATCATTTAATATGATATGTGTTCGTTTTTTTACTGGTTTATTAGATTTTGCTCCATCTTTTTTAGCTTTATCAAGCAATTCATTTATTTGTTCAGATGTATATAAAGTTGTGAAACTTATACAGTCTTGAAAATGGCATATACATTCCTTTTTTGTATTTGTAAATTTGTTCTTATAAGTTTCATCCTTTCCAAGTATATTAATACAAGCACGACATACTGCATACTTATTGCTTTTATTTGCTATTTGTTCAAAATGAAGGACTACAATATATGGCGTTAAAAAATGCTCACAATGACCCATTATATGATTGTTAAAAAATAAGAGAAAAGATCATGGTGATTTATTTTTTTGCATTACATTAACAATTTTATATAAATCGTTAAATTCTTGATTGGTTGATTTTAGAATTTAAATGATTAACGTTAAAAAATGATTTGCAAATAAAATATAGCGAAAATATATAATAGAAAATAATTACTGTTTTTTTTAATAGCTAATTGGAGAATTGAAATCTCAACCATATTAAAAAAAAATTTAAGTAAAGGCTTTTAATACAATTATTAAGCCTTTTTTTCGTAAATTATTAAAT